ATAGTCGTGTAGTGTATAGTGTAGTGTATAGTAGTGTGGTGTATAGTCATATAGTATATAGTAGTGTAGTGTATAGTAGTGTGGTATATAGTCGTGTGGTGTATAGTAGTGTATATTAATGTGGTGTATCGTGTAGTGTATAGTAGTGTGGTGTATAGTAGTGTAGTGTATAGTGTAGTGTATAGTAGTGTGGTGTATAGTAGTGTAGTGTATAGTAGTGTGGTGTATAGTGTAGTGTATAGTAGTGTAGTGTATAGTGTTGTAGTGTATAGTGTAGTGTATAGTAGTGTAATGTATAGTAGTGTGGTGTATAGTAGTGTGGTGTATAGTAGTGTGGTGTATAGTAGTGTATAGTAGTGTCGTGTATAGTAGTGTAGTGTATAGTAGTGTAGTGTATAGTAGTGTAGTGTATAGTAGTGTAGTGTATAGTGTAGTGTATAGTAGTGTTGTGTACAGTAGTATAGTTAATAGTAGTGTGGTGTATAGTAGTGTGGTGTATAGTAGTGTAGTGTATAGTAGTGTAGTGTATAGTAGTGTTGTGTATAGTAGTGTTGTGTATAGTGTAGTGTATAGTAGTGTTGTGTATAGTGTAGTGTATAGTAGTGTAGTGTATAGTAGTGTAGTGTATAGTAGTGTTGTGTATAGTAGTGTATAGTAGTGTAGTGTATAGTTTATAGTAGTGTAGTTTATAGTAGTGTCGTGTATAGTAGTGTAGTGTACAGTGCAGTGTATAGTGTAGTGTATAGTAGTGTAGTGTATAGTAGTGTAGTGTATAGTAGTGTAGTTTATAGTAGTGTAGTGTATAGTGTAGTATATAGTAGTGTAGCGTATAGTAGTGTGGTGTATAGTAGTGTAGTGTACAGTGTAGTGTATAGTGTAGTGTATAGTAGTGTAGTGTACAGTAGTGTAGTGTATAGTAGTGTGGTGTATAGTGTAGTGTATAGTGTAGTGTATAGTAGTGTATAGTGTAGTCACTGTAGTGTATAGTAGTGTTGTGTATAGTGTAGTGTATAGTAGTGTGGTGTATAGTGTAGTGTATAGTAGTGTAGTGTATAGTGTAGTGTGGTGTATAGTCGTGTAGTGTATAGTGTAGTGTATAGTAGTGTGGTGTATAGTCATATAGTATATAGTAGTGTAGTGTATAGTAGTGTGGTATATAGTCGTGTGGTGTATAGTAGTGTATATTAATGTGGTGTATCGTGTAGTGTATAGTAGTGTGGTGTATAGTAGTGTAGTGTATAGTGTAGTGTATAGTAGTGTGGTGTATAGTAGTGTAGTGTATAGTAGTGTGGTGTATAGTGTAGTGTATAGTAGTGTAGTGTATAGTGTTGTAGTGTATAGTGTAGTGTATAGTAGTGTAATGTATTGTAGTGTGGTGTATAGTAGTGTGGTGTATAGTAGTGTGGTGTATAGTAGTGTATAGTAGTGTCGTGTATAGTGTAGTGTATAGTAGTGTAGTGTACAGTAGTATAGTTAATAGTAGTGTGGTGTATAGTAGTGTAGTGTATAGTAGTGTAGTGTATAGTAGTGTAGTGTATAGTGTAGTGTATAGTAGTGTTGTGTATAGTGTAGTGTATAGTAGTGTAGTATACAGTAGTATAGTTAATAGTAGTGTGGTGTATAGTAGTATAGTGTATAGTAGTGTAGTGTATAGTAGTGTTGTGTATAGTAGTGTTGTGTATAGTGTAGTGTATAGTAGTGTTGTGTAGTGTATAGTAGTGTAGTGTATAGTAGTGTAGTGTATAGTAGTGTTGTGTATAGTAGTGTATAGTAGTGTAGTGTATAGTTTATAGTAGTGTAGTTTATAGTAGTGTCGTGTATAGTAGTGTAGTGTACAGTGCAGTGTATAGTGTAGTGTATAGTAGTGTAGTGTATAGTAGTGTAGTGTATAGTAGTGTAGTTTATAGTAGTGTAGTGTATAGTGTAGTATATAGTAGTGTAGCGTATAGTAGTGTGGTGTATAGTAGTGTAGTGTACAGTGTAGTGTATAGTGAAGTGTATTGTAGTGTAGTGTACAGTAGTGTAGTGTATAGTAGTGTGGTGTATAGTGTAGTGTATAGTGTAGTGTATAGTAGTGTATAGTGTAGTCACTGTAGTGTATAGTAGTGTTGTGTATAGTGTAGTGTATAGTCGTGTGGTGTATAGTGTAGTGTATAGTAGTGTGGTGTATAGTCGTATAGTATATAGTAGTGTAGTGTATAGTAGTGTGGTGTATAGTCGTGTAGTGTATAGTGGTGTATAGTCGTGTAGTGTATAGTCATGTGGTGTATAGTAGTGTATAGTAATGTGGTGTATCGTGTAGTGTATAGTAGTGTAGTGTATAGTGTTGTAGTGTATAGTGTAGTGTATAGTAGTGTAATGTATAGTAGTGTGGTGTATAGTAGTGTGGTGTATAGTAGTGTATAGTAGTGTCATGTATAGTAGTGTAGTGTATAGTAGTGTAGTGTATAGTAATGTAGTGTATAGTAGTGTAGTGTATAGTGTAGTGTATAGTAGTGTTGTGTATAGTGTAGTGTATAGTAGTGTAGTGTACAGTAGTATAGTTAATAGTAGTGTGGTGTATAGTAGTGTGGTGTATAGTAGTGTAGTGTATAGTAGTGTAGTGTATAGTAGTGTTGTGTATAGTAGTGTATAGTAGTGCTGTGTATAGTGTAGTGTATAGTAGTGTAGTGTATAGTAGTGTTGTGTATAGTAGTGTAGTGTATAGTAGTGTAGTGTATAGTAGTGTAGTGTATAGTAGTGTTGTGTATAGTAGTGTATAGTAGTGTAGTGTATAGTTTATAGTAGTGTAGTTTATAGTAGTGTAGTGTATAGTAGTGTTGTGTATAGTGTAGTGTATAGTAGTGTATAGTAGTGTTGTGTATAGTGTAGTGTATAGTAGTGTGGTCTATAGTGTAGTGTATAGTAGTGTAGTTTATAGTAGTGTAGTGTATAGTGTAGTGTATAGTAGTGTAGTGTATAGTAGTGTGGTGTATAGTAGTGTAGTGTACAGTGTAGTGTATAGTGTAGTGTATAGTAGTGTAATGTTCAGTAGTGTAGTGTATAGTAGTGTGGTGTATAGTGTAGTGTATAGTAGTGTATAGTGTAGTCACTGTAGTGTATAGTAGTGTTGTGTATAGTGTAGTGTATAGCAGAGGTGGGACAAAGTCATTGTTATGCAAGTCCAAGTCGAGTCTGAAGTCATCAAATTCATGACTCGAGTCTGACTCGAGTCCAAGTCACATGACTCGAGTCCACACCTCAGAGGTGGGACAAAGTCATTGTTATGCAAGTCCAAGTCGAGTCTGAAGTCATCAAATTCATGACTCGAGTCTGACTCGAGTCCAAGTCACATGACTCGAGTCCACACCTCAGGTGTATAGTAGTGTGGTGTATAGTGTAGTGTATAGTAGTGTAGTGTATAGTAGTGTAGTGTGGTGTATAGTCGTGTAGTGTATAGTGTAGTGTATAGTAGTGTGGTGTATAGTCGTATAGTATATAGTAGTGTAGTGTATAGTAGTGTGGTGTATAGTAGTGTAGTGTATAGTAGTGTAGTGTATAGTGTAGTGTATAGTAGTGTGGTGTATAGTCGTATAGTATATAGTAGTGTAGTGTATAGTAGTGTGGTGTATAGTAGTGTAGTGTATAGTAGTGTAGTGTATAGTCGCGTAGTGTATAGTCGCGTAGTGTATAGTCGTGTGGTGTATAGTAGTGTAGTGTATAGTCTAGTGTATAATCATCACCACCACCATCACCACCACGACCATCATGACCATCACCACTACCATCATCATCACCACCACCTTCACCACTACTCCCAACATCGACCATCGATCTTCCAGTCTCCAGAGCTAGACAATGACACACATACAGACGACTACCAAAGACAAATATCCTCCGTATAGCCTGCAACGGACTCTATGGGCAAGTGCTGTTAGTAGCGACTAGCAGCAGCACCTATGAAGGCCGGCACCATGGCACACGAGGGGGTGGGTGGGTGGCCAGCACCACGCCCGGCCGCCTTTGTCTCCCTCGTGGCAACGTTTACACAACACGCACCGGGTACTCATTTGAGGCCGAGTCGACCTAGGGGACACCCAAGTACTGGTTACAGACAATCGTCAGCGGTGTTGGTGGCGGCCGTGAGCGGAAATCGAACTCGGTATGAATCCCGGCGGTGTGGCAGGTGGCATGGAGATGGTGGTGGCGGTGTTGTAGGTGGCCTGGAGATGGTGGTGGCGGTGTCGTAGGTGGCCTGGAGATGGTGGTGGCGGTGTGGGAGGTGGCATGGAGATGGTGGTGACGGTGTGGGAGGTGGCATGGAGATGGTGGTGGCGGTGGCGTAAGTGGCATGGAGATGCTGGTGGCGGTGTGGGAGGTGGCATGGAGATGGTGGTGGCGGTGTGGGAGGTGGCATGGAAATGGTGGTGGCGGTGTCGTAGGTGGCCTGGAGATGGTGGTGGCGGTGTGGGAGGTGGCATGGAGATGGTGGTGACGGTGTGGGAGGTGGCATGGAGATGGTGGTGGCGGTGGCGTAAGTGGCATGGAGATGCTGGTGGCGGTGTGGGAGGTGGCATGGAGATGGTGGTGGCGGTGTGGGAGGTGGCATGGAGATGGTGGTGGCGGTGTGGGAGGTGGCATGGAGATGGTGGTGGCGGTGTCGTAGGTGGACTGGAGATGGTGGTGGCGGTGTCGTAGGTGGTATGGAGATGCTGGTGGCGGTGTGGCATGGAGATGCTGGTGGCGGTGTCGTAGGTGGCATGGAGATGCTGGTGGCGGTGTCGTAGGTGGCATGGAGATGCTGGTGGCGGTGTGGGAGGTGGCATGGAGATGGTGGTGGCGGTGTTGTAGGTGGCCTGGAAATGCGATGGAGGTGAGGAGGAGTTGCACATGACCAAACGTGGGAACCGAAAGCCGCCAAACCCCACCGATTCAAAATGTCCTAAGCCGGGACTCCCGAATGCACCAACGCCCAGCGCTATACGTTCCTGTTACCACCACCACCGCCACTCGCCCCTCACCGGTATCTTGCTCTTCTCTCTCCTCTTTCACCCTGAGAAACGTCTCATGCCTGCGCTCCTCCCCAGTGCCTTCCCGCCTGACGAGCGGCTCCACGGGCAGGTGAAGGGTCACCTCCTCCTCCCCCCCCACCTCCTTCCCGTCGCCTGTGCCGAGCGAAACGCAGCGCAGCAGAGAGAGGCTCACGCTGCTGATGCTGCTGATGATGATCTCTCTCTCGCTGTAGATCAGCCCAAGCCTCCAGTAAACCACGTGGCTTCAGTGTGCTGAGTCTATGGATGGCAGTGCTGAGTCTATGGGTGGCAGTGCTGAGTCTATGGGTGGCAGTGCTGAGTCTATGACAATGCTGAGTCTATGAGTGGCAGTGCTGAGTCTATGGGTAGCAGTGCTCAGTCTATGGGTGACAGTGCTGAGTATATGGGTGGCAATGCTGAGTCTATGGGTGACAGTGCTGAGTCTATGGGTGGCAGTGCTGAGTCTATGGCAGCGCTGAGTCTATGGGTGGCAGTGCTGAGTCTATGGGTGACAGTGCTGCGTCTATGGGTGACAGTGATATGTCTATGGGTAGCAGTGCTGAGTCTATGGGTGGCAGTGCTGAGTCTATGGGTGGCAGTGCTGAGTCTATGGGTAGCAGTGCTGAGTCTACGACAGTGCTGAGCCTATGGCAGTGCTAAGTCTATGGCAGTGCTGAGTCTTTGGTGGCAGTGCTGAGTCTATGACAGTGCTGAGTCTATGACAGTGCTGAGTCTATAACAGTGCTGAGTCTATAGCAGTGCTGAGTCTATTGCAGTGCTGAGTCTATTGCAGTGCTGAGTCTATGGCAGTGCTGAGTCTATGGCAGTGCTGAGTCTATGGAGTCCTCACCCCCAGCCATGTCTCCGTCTCCGCTGCGAGCGTCCATTCTGCGCGACATCTCACGGCCCCAGCGGTCCCCTGCAGCTCCTCGCTGGATGGGCGACGGCGATGATGTTGGAGACTCCTACTTCTCTTCCTCTTAGCGTGACGACAACGATGGCGGTGAAAAAGCTTCCTCGCTCTTCCCACGCCTGAGAATGCAGGCGTAATGAATAATCACTTACTATTTGTAAAGTGGTGGATTTCAATCGTAGATTCCATTGGACTGTGTGCGTGTGTGAGCTGTTGCCGTTGTGATGATAGCAAGATTGCTACTTAAACAAGAAGATATTTTTCTTAATTTTTAACTACACAGCAGCTCAGTGGGACCTTACACCAAGTAACAATAAACTTAGGTTATTTTAGTATGATTCTCTGTGGGTCTCAATGGGTTTCTGTGGGTCTATATGGGTCTGTGGGTCTCAATGGGTCTTTGTGGCTCTCTATGGGTTTTGATGGGTCTCTATGGGTCTCTATGGGTCTCTGTGGGACTCTCTGGGTCTCTCTGGGTCTCTGTGGGTCTCGATGAGTATGAGTCTCTATGGGTCTCTGTGGGTCTCTATGAGTCTCTATGTGTCTCTGAGTATCGATGGGTCTCTGTGGATCTCTGTGGGTCTCGATGGATTTCTGTGGGTCTCTGTGGGTCTCGATGGATCTCGATGAGTTTCTGTGGGTCTCTGTGAGTCTCGATGGGTCTCGATGGGTTTCTGTGGGTCTCTGTGGGTCTCGATGGGTCTCGATGGGTTTCTGTGGGTCTCTATGAGTCTCTGAGTCTCGATGGGTTTCTGTGGGTCTCTGCGGGTCTCGATGGATCTCAATAGGTCTGAGCCACTTGGTTGAGCTATCGTTGTGGTGAGAAAGAGCTACACAGCATCTCAGTGGTGGCCTTACAGCTGGTAACATGAACATAGTTTAGTTTTAGTATGGGTCTCTCTGGGTCTCTGTGGGTCTCTATGGGTCTCTCTAGGTCTCTGTGGGTCTCTATGGGTCTCTTTGGGTCTCTATGGGACTCTCTGGGTCTCTTGTGTATCTCGATGAGTATGGGTCTCTGTGGGTCTCTATGGGTCTCTCTGGGTCTATTTGGGTCTCTATGGGTCTCTATGAGTATGGGTCTCTGTGGGTCTCTATGAATATGGGTCTCTATGGGTCTCTGTGGGTCTCTATGGGTCTCTCTGGGTCTCTATGAGTATCTCTGGGTCTCTATGGGTATCTCTGGGTCTCTATGGGTCTCTCTGGGTCTCTATGGGTCTCTGTGGGACTCTCTGGGTCTCTGAGTCACGATGGGTCTCGATGGGTTTCTGTGGGTCTCGATGGGTTTCTGTGGGTCTCGATGGGTCTCTGAGTCTCGATGGGTTTCTGTGGGTCTCTGTGGGTCTCGATGGATCTCGATAGGTCTGAGCCACTTGGTTGAGCTATCGTTGTGGTGAGAAAGAGCTACACAGCATCTCAGTGGTGGCCTTACAGCTGGTAACATGAACATAGTTTAGTTTTAGTATGGGTCTCTCTGGGTCTCTGTGGGTCTCTATGGGTCTCCATGGGTCTCCATGGGTCTCTATGGGTCTCTCTTGGTCTGTGGGTCTCTCTGGGTCTCTATGGGTCTCTTTGGGTCTCTATGGGTCTCTGTGGGACTCTCTGGTTCTTTGTGGGTCTCGATTAGTATGGGTCTCTGTGGGTCTCTATGAGTATGGGTCTCTGTGGGTCTCTGAGTATTTATAAGTCTCTGTGGGTCTCTATGAGTCTCGGTGGGTATCTGTGGGTCTCTATGGGTCTCTCTACGACGATTTGAGCGTCACCCAGAACATCACAAACCTGCAGCTGACGGGAGGAGCCGCGCCAAGCCTCACGGAGCCGCCTCGCGGAGGAGCCTCACGGAGGAGCCTGACGGAGCCGCCTCACGGAGGAGTCTGACGGAGCCGCCTGACGGAGGAGCCTCACGGAGCCGCCTCACGGAGGAGCTTCACGGAGCCGCCTGAGGGCCGTGGATCTCCTCCTCCCCGCGGGCCCAGCGCAGGCGACTGCAAGCAAGAAACAAGACGCCTCACTTGGACACTGGCTCACTTGGACGCCGTGGACGGCAATATTCAACAAGTCAACTCAGACGCAAACTTAGACACTGACTTAGACACTGGGTCATTGAGACACTCAGACACTCACTTTTTCACCGTGGACTGCAAGATTCAACAAGCCAGCTCACTTAGACACTCACTTAGACACTGGCTCACTTCGACACCGTGGACTGCGAGATACAACAAGCCAGCTCACTTAGACACTGGTATAGTAGTGTATAGTGCAATGTATAGTAGTTTAGTCTATAGTAGTGTGTAGTAGTGTAGTGTATAGTAGTGTAGTGTATAGTCGTGTAGTGAATAGTAGTGTATAGCAGTGTAGTGTATAGTAGTGTATATTAGTGTAGTGTATAGTGTAGTGTATAGTGTAGTGTATAGTGTAGTGTATATTAGTGTAGTGTATAGTATTGTAGTGTATAGTGGTGTAGCAAGGCTGTAATTATATATATTGGGGGGGACCATATCCCCCCCCAATATTCAAATATGCTCAAAATGTCCCCCCCCCAATATATTGCTATAAAATAGATTTCTGTTTATATGATTGTGGTTATGGTTGTACTTTATTAATCCCTAATCTCTGCCATTACATACAATGAAACAAAAAAGGTAAAAAAGAAAAAACAGAGCAATGTAATACAATACACTATTAGACATTATTGTAAAAAATAAATTAAAAGTCCATCCTATGTGTTAGTGACCCCCAGACCCCCTGGAAGATTTGGTCCCCCCCAATGTTGACTCCATGGCTACGGCCTTGTGGTGTAGTGTATAATAGTGTAGTGTTTACCATTGGAACCTCATTTGCCAGAAGAAAAAATATGATAATTGTTGTTTTACCCTTTTATTTGGCAACAAAACTGACACCTTTTTTTACAAGGAGTCATGTTTGCATAGACCACAGTACCTGCAGTCGTAATGCAAACAAAAAACATAACTTTGATAATGTACATTATATGTTTTTTGTTTGCATTACGACTGCAGGTATAGTGATCTATGCAAACATGACTCCTTGTAAAATTAGGAGAGCGGGAGAGAGACACACTAAATTAAATAACCTAGCAAAATATCGTCGTATGCTATTATTTAATTTATTATTTGATCTTTATACGTGACTTTACCGAAAGAACCAAAGAGTAATTTCTGCAGTCACGAAAGCTCCAAATTAAGATTGAACCACTTCTATGGGGAAGTTTTAAGTTGATCTTTTTCTCTCTCTCTGGGTTTTTTGTTCTCTCTGTGTATCGATCTTCGTGTTTGTGTCTTTCAAATTTCACACTTAACTTATAACTTAGCAATCTTTGAAATACGTAATCAACCAGGCTATGCGTTGTGTGTTGACCGACTCTCTGTGTTGGATTACATTACATTTCGATATTGTGCTAGGTTATTTAATTTAGTGTGTCTCTCTCCCGCTCTCCTAATTTTCAAGCTGGCGTACCTTACCACGCGTCGTCCTACTCATTGACATGCTAATTTTTCTCTAACCCCTCCCTCTCTCCGCCCCTACCCCCTCTCTCTATTTAAGGCCTCGTCACAGAGACGTTCTCTCTCTGTGTGCCGATGTGTGTTCTCTCTCTATGTATCTTTGTGATATCTGTCTGCTTATATGTCTGTCTATAGTTTTCTGGTTAGATTTTTGTTGCTATTTCTTTTATACCTGATGATGATTGCTTGTGTTGCAATCGAAACGTCGTATGCTATTCTTTAATTTATTATTTTATCTTTATACGTGACTTTACAGAAATAACTAAAGAGTAATTCCTGCAGTCACGAAAGCTCCAAATTGATATTTTACAAGGAGTCATGTTTGCATAGACCACAATACCTGCAGTCGTAATGCAAACAAAAACACAATTCTGATAATGTATGCACTGTCCTTGAAGTTGATTGGTCCACACCCGAGACAGCTTTCCTTAGAGACTAGACTGTAAAAAATGTGTCAGTTTTGTTGCCAGATAAAAGGGTAAAAAAACAATTATCATATTTTTTCTTCTGGCAAATGAGGTTCCAACGGTGTAAATGCTTACCCCGAGCTCTCATACTCTGATGGTGCATTGTCTTTGAGTTGTGCGCCTTTTGGCGTCATCTGGTCCAACACCATGTGAGACTCGGCTCTAAGGAAAGCTGTCTCGGGTGTGGACCAATCAACTTCAAGGACAGTGCATACATTATCAGAGTTATGTTTTTTGTTTGCATTATGACTGCAGGTATTGTGGTCTATGCAAACATGACTCCTTGTAAAAAAAAGGTGTCAGTTTTGTTGCCAGATTAAAGGGCAAAAAAACAATTATCAGTGTAGTGTTTAGTGTAGTGTATATTAGTGTAGTGTATAGTAGTGTAGTGTTTAGTAGTGTGGTGTTTAGTAGTGTAGTGTATAGTAGTGTATTGTAGTGTATAGTAGTGTAGTGTATTGTAGTGTATAGTAGTCTAGTGTATAGTAGTGTATAGTGTAGGGTGTAGTAGTATAGTGTATAATAGTGTAGTGTATAGTAGTGTAGTGTATAGTGTAGTATAGTGTATGGTAGTGTAGTGTATAGTAGTACAGTGTATAGTAGTGTAGTGTATAGTAGTGTATAATAGTGTAGTGTATAGTATTGTAGTGTATAGTAGTATATAGTGTAGGGTATAGTAGTTTAGTGTATAATAGTGTAGTGTATAGTAGTGTAGTGTATAGTGTAGTATAGTGTATCGTAATTTATAGTATAGTGTAGCATAGTATATCATAGTGTAGTGTATAGTAGTGTAGTGTATAGTAGTGTAATATAGTGTAGTGTATACTAATGTATAGTGTAGTGTATAGTAGGGTGTAGTGGTGTAGTGTATGGTATTGTAGTTGTCTATAATAGTGGAGTGTATAGCAGAGTATAGTGGTGTAGTGTATATGAGTTTAGTCTATAATAGTGGAGTGTATAGCAGTGTATAGTGTAGTGTATAGTAGTGTATAGTAGTGTAGTGTATATAGTGTAGTGTAAAATAGTGTATAACTGTTTTTAGTAGTGTATAAACGTTTAGTGTATAGTAGTGTATGTATGATGAACTTCTTTCACGCCGTACAGTAGCCAACCATAGCTAATCGGAGGTGCGAATATATATACTGTATAACCATTTTTTTAAATGAGATTAGGCATTTTATTAGTTGATAAATGTCACAAGCTTCGGATATATTGCCCGCGCGGCTGTATTTTTACATCGCAGATTAACAACGGAAATATTCTTTGAGCAATTTTACACTTGCAAATAACACAAACTTCACAGTACGACAAAGAAATATCCAAGATCATATTTTAACATCCCCCCCCCTCTTAAACTCTTTTACTACAACGAGTAACAACGACAAACAACATCATCTAAAGACCACATTATTTGGATGGTCGCCCAGATACAATAATAATTTTGATTTTATATCCTGCGTCATTTATGCTAAACAGCATCCCGTAGCGCCGTGACATCAATTATATATACGTGGACCAAATGTCATATACACAGCCACCACCACTACTACTACCAAGCAGTTCGAATCTCGGTTAATCCGTGACACTGGGCTAGAGGTTCTTGCGCGATCCATCCGTCCAGATGTCTGGCCTGGACCCCTCAAGGCGCCAATGGGTGGTGCAGTATTAAACCGCTTAGGGGCTGTCCATAATGACGTCACGCGATTTTGGACGATATTTGACCCCCCCCACCGTCACAAAAAGTCAGACCCCCCCTCAAATATGACGTCACAAAGCTCTGCCCCCCCCCCAAATAAAACATGCTTCAAATTGCTTTAAACTATTGTCATTGTAGTGCGTATTTAATGTAGCGCTGCACTCTGATGTTGTAGGAGAATTACGTAAAACGTGTTGTCTATATTTATTTAAAGTTGCGCATTTTGATGTGACGTCATATTTCTCAACCCCCTCCCCCCCCGTCATCACACATCGTCACAAATGTCTGAACCCCCCCCCGCACCCCCTAGGTGCGTGACATCATTTATGGACGGCCCCTTACAGTTTGATCAGGGAGTGCGTCGCTGCTTCCGAGCATCGATTGGGGCATCGTGACTGCCACGGGAAGCCAGAAGACACTATCGGACGTTTCGGCTGTATAGTAGTGCCTAGTGTATAGTAGTATGTAGTAGTTTATAGTAGTGTATGTAATAGTTTATAGTAGTGCAGTGTGTAGTAGTGGAGCATACCTGTCAACCCATAATCAGTCCCCTACCTTATTACAGACCAATTCAGACAATTTTGATCAACCCGTGACCTTATACATCTCAAAGTTCATCCTACAAAGCCCCATCACAAACGGCTGTAACGCCGTATGGTCCTGAAAAGTTAATTTCCCTGTACAAGAACACGTGGTAAGACCGTGTGAGAGTGCAGGACTGGTGGCCCCGCACGTGCTGGAGGTGGCTCCAAAGTGGCTTCGTGGCTATCTGGGGGTGACTGACGTCTACTCTGAAAACGTTGATTTATTTATCTAAATTTAGTGAAGGTATCTGACGTCATTGACTGTGGGCGTGGCTATGTGGGGGTGGCTGACGTCTACTCAGATAAAGTTGTTTTATTTATCTAAATTTAGTGAATGTATCTGGTGTCATTGACTGTGGGAAGCCACGTGAAATAGCATTGGCTAAATAAATAACTTTTTTTGCGGGGGTCACCGTTATGCCTCCTGTAGTGAGCCGCCTTGTTGATGTGACGGTACGCGTTGACGTCATGCGCACGCGGTGGCACGGTTTCGGCCAATCAGAGCTGCTCGTAAAGTAGGGGGGGGGCTGAGCCGCGTGCAACCTCGACCAACCAGCGATGTCCCCTATTGTGAGCTGATTTCGACCTCGACTTGACTTTGTTTAACATTATACGTTTTTTTTGCTTTGCCAATCATGATCAGCTCTTTCTTGTGCAGACCTCAGTGATTTTTGTTAACTTCTTTTTTCAAGTTTAAGTGAATTCGATTCGAAGTTAAACTAATCTGTTAAACTATTTTAGAAACTAAACATTTGTTTTTATTTTACCAGGTAAGGGCCTCACTGAGCTGCGTAGTTCTTTTTTATACACGATTTTATTTAACTCACTGTCTGTTGTTGTCGTATCCTCAAATATTGTAACTCAATTTTAACCCACTTCCCAATGTGGTATCGACTGCAAACTTGGTATACTTATGACAATACTATATTGTCGTAAAAATATATAAAATTTAAACCATCTTTTTTATATGTTATGTTTCGGTTTGGGTCTAATTGTCCACGCTCAACTGACGTTGGCTGTAAATCACCACGGTCCCTTACATTATGGTAAACTTCGGGGCCACTTCCTGGAGTCGTGGAGTTTTGCCATTACGAGTACAGTACATTTCATTAAAGCATGTTAAAAAAAAGTATTTTTAAATATTACTTATTTTCAGAAGCGACCTGGCCATCACAAATGACAGCATTTGTGGCCAAATTATTGACGAAGAGGTATACGTTGGCGTCATGCACATGCGGTGGCGTCAATTTCGGCCAATCAGAGCTGCTCGTAAAGTGGGGGGCTGAGACCATGCCCTCGAGTCCTAGATCAATCAGCTACGACCCATTCGTGAGCGGGTTAAGACCTCGACTTGGCTTTGTTTAACATTACGTTTATTATCCATCAAGTTTTTTTTGGGGTTATATCGCGTGAATATAAGTATGTCATTATACCCGCAACCATCACCCAACAGCCAATCAGTAAGGGGTTTGTCACGTAAAAAATCGTGCCAATTAAATACTAGCACAGCACTATAACCCACTACATTTACAATTCGAGTAGCTGTGACATTTTGCCAGTAATTACAACAGCAACAAGCATCATCAGGTGACAGCCACAGAGTTGTGGGGAAATCCTCCTCCTGTTTCGGTCTTAAATAGAGGGATGGGTGATTATTTTTTCTCTTCTTCTCGGGTGCAATTGTGAACAACGGCCATACGAGTCACGAGTACATCCAGCCGGCGTGATCATTGGGTTTCACTGCAGCTCAAGGACTCGGTCCCTGCAAGGCAATTTGGTGCTTTGTTTCTTGTAGCAATTGGAGAGTTCCGTGGTGGAGGTGTTTCAACGCTGCACACGACCGCGATCCGCAAGCACCCAAAGACTCATAGCAGAATGTGCTCAGGCGTGAGCCACTCGCTCAAGGTTGGGCTCACCAGCTTTTTTTGTTTTTTTAACGGGTGCGACCGGCGTGGATTTCTTACATGATTGATGCACAGCGTTATGGGATGCTATCAAGCAAGAATGACGTGGTTTTATATATATAGGGTGCTTCAAAAAAATGTTAACTTGAGAATTTGCAACACTACCACGAGAAATGTGCCTCCGGGCTCTGGAGACCACCTGGAGAAGATTCCAGTTCATGTGTTAACAGTGATGTCGAACCAGTGGAGACTCGTTGACTTTTTGAAGCTATAAACATACATTTATCATGTTAGTGTATCTTATCCGTTATTTTTCCATCAAAAATGATCGTCCCATGTAAGTTAACAAGTTTTTGAAGCACCCTGCACATAAAATTACAGTACAGTAGACTCCAGATTATCCGCCCTGCGGTTTATCCGATTTGCGGATTAAACCCCGCGCCTGACACTTTGATGTAAATGAATAAACCCGTGGATTTTCCATTAAGAACGTGGCTCCTCCACACCCACCACCGGCGGAAGGGGAGTTTCACAATGAGCCATTCACTTTTTCGCCACTCCACCGCTGCCCCTCCTGGCGAAGGTTGCCTGGCTTTGGTTGACAAGTTGGGGCAGTGTGCTCTGGGTTGTGCAGTAGACCTCGTGGACTCATTTCTTTTGTCGTGTTGTTGTTTGGGTGCTATTTACAAGAGGTTTTTGGACTAGATCACGTAAATATAAATGTGTCGTTAAACTCGCCACCACCCGTCTTGGCCAATTAGTGAGGTTTGTCACGTCAACAAAACCTACCAATTTAGTTACAAATTAAGCACACCGGTGTGTTGGAGAGTTAATACAAAACATCTACAATTCAAATACTAGCTCCGATTGGCCGAAATTGGCACCACCGCGTGCACATATAACGTAAACGCCTTACAGTTACGCCAACAATTGGTAACGTTAAGTCAAAACCCATGGCGGATTAACCGCGCACCTGAGATTTTGACATACATTAAAAACTCATCTATTTTCCCTTACGCTCACATTAGTAATCTAAAAACAGCTATGCATTGTTATTCTTGGAAATATTTATTTCCAAGTCACGGTGCTTAAACTGAACAAATATGTTGTGCCACTTAATTTGATATCCACGTGATCGCACCTACAGTACAGTAGTTGCAATATCTTTACAACAGTGGGCTGAGTTTGATTTATGTTGATTGGCTGTGGCTCTGCTGTCATCCACTTAGTGGGCCGAGTCTTCTGCTGGACGAGAAGAGAAAAGTGTTATGATCACTGAGCACGCGCATCATCGATCGGTCGATCGTTAGTATTCATTCTACATCGAAAGAGTAACAATAGAGTTTGTGCTTTATTTTAGAAAATAGTTATATTTTTGTATTATTCATGATTTTGTATTATCCGCAGCCGTCCTCCCCATCATTAGCGTGCATAATCGAGAGTCTACTGTCTTATTATTAGTATATCTGTGCGAGCCTCCAACCTTCACAGCACTGGATTACGAGGCCAGGTGCATAGCCACCACCGCCCGGCTATCTACACCGAATATATAAAATCCACGGGGAGCGTTTTACAATCGGCGCAAAATACGTACGCACATTGAACGTCTTTCACACCCGTACGTAGCCGACCGTGCTCAATCGATGGTGCTGGGGGTGTTAATCGGAGATAGCTTTGTATGAGACGGTCGTTTTAAATGATATAGGCAGGCCAGTATCCAATAAGGACCTTGGCAGCAGCTAACTCTTGTGGCCGCAGGTTTCGCGCGATGATGGTTTATGCTGCACAAAAAGATCAGCGAGCTGTCGTGGTTAATTTGTGGCAAGAACCTCACGCGTGTGACGTGTGACCTCATTGAATGGTACGTCATCTTAGGCAGGCTGTAGCGGTCGGTTTGAGTTGGGCCACGAGTCAACAGCTGGTGGCCTGCTGGTTCTGCGGCAAATAACACCAGTTTAATGACTTTGAATACATCGACAGCAGCGGTTTTACAATCGGCGAAATTATGGTACCATTGTGTGCGAATCGCCCGTGTTAAATTATGTGACGGGCCAGTATCCAATAAGAACCTTGGGCAGCAGCTAACTCTTCTTGCATGGGCGAATGGGCGGATGCTCTCAGATGTCCTTTGTGGCTGATCTCTTTCTCTCTCTTGTGGGAGACTGCATCGCCGTTAAAATGCAGCAGGACAAATAATGAAATCGCTTGCCTTTGTCACCGCTGCACTCACCACCAGTTTGAAATTTAACTCACAAACAATCAAATGCCACGTTGGTGTGAAGTACCCAAAGCAGAAGACCCCCACCTGGGGTTTTGATCTTCCACGAAGCCGCTCATGGTCCACCGCCTAAACCGCATCCATACAAAACATGGCAGTAGATGCAGATACCTGATGCACAAATGGAAAATTATAAACTCTCTAGTAGTAGTGGTGCGACTGTGGTCACCCAGAACAGAGGCCGTACACAACGTATAACGACGCAATGGCCCCATCCACAAATACGAGGGAGACATCACAGCGATGATGATACACTACTCCGCTTGCTCCTGACGCGGTTGTCTGGGCTTGACCACATGAATGTGAAACTGTAGTCGTTGCTCTGCGGACGTCTAGAACGCTCTTCTGCGGCTGTCTGGAAGGCTCTTCCTTCCGAAATTAGGAATCCTTTAGGAGCTACGCACTTTTACATCATCCAGATTGACAAACTATAAAAAAACTGCTTGTTGTGTTTAGTTTCTTGTCCTTCGCCTGCCCCCCCTGCCCCCCCCCCCGGCACTTCCAATTAGCACGGTTGGCTACATAAGGCGGTGCAAAAGAAGTTCAACTTACACACATACAAACTACTATACACTACACTATACACTACAGACTACACGATTACATACTACTTTCCACTACACTACTATACGTTGTCCTCGTCATCGGCATTCCCTCAGGGTTTGAATATGACGTCCATCAGGTTTAGTGTTGGCTCTTGAGGTGGCAGAGGAGTCCAATTCTGGAACCGCAGATCTTTCGCCATTCAGGGCACCACACAGTCCCGGAATGAAGTGGAATCCGCAGTGCCGGGTTGGTTTCCTTTTCCTTTATTTTTTGGCAGCGATCCACTTCGGCATCGAGACCTTGGGTCTCGGATTCGGGCCGCGGCCTGGTGGTTGCAGCGGCGCCACACTAGGCGGTCGGCAGCCTGCTCCTCCTAGTCTTGAAGGCTGATTTTTCCGTGCTTCAGGGAGGGTATCCTTGAACCGCTTCCTTTGTCGTCCCCTCCTCCGTTGATCATTTGAGAGTTGGGAGAAAAGGATCTGGCGAGGAAGGCGGTTCTCAGGCATGCGGATGCAGCGGCCGGTCCATCGGAGTTGGTTTTTTAGAAGTGTCGCTTCACTGCTGGTGGTGTCAGCTTGGAGGAGGACACTCGCATCGGTGCAGTGATCTTTCCACTCGATCCCCTGGATTTGATGGAGCCAGCGCCGATGAAAGCCGCTCGAGCGTAGTGATGTGGTGCCGGTTGGCTGTCCACATTTCGCTGCAGTTGAGCAGTATTGGGATGACAACAGCGCACCGGTAAACTAGGAGCTTTGTTGTCCTGCAGAGATCTTTGTCATTGAAGGCGACGCTGGCGCACCAGACTCTGTGTTGGATCTCCTCGTTGACGATGGCCGTTTGGGAGAAATGAGGTAAGGGAAAAACACTCCACGTATTCAGGGGCCTCTCCATTGACATAGTCGGGGGGATGTTTGGCTGGTTGGATGGCGGTTGGTGGAGGACCTTGGATTTGGTAATGTTCAGGGTTAAACAAAGTCTCCTATATGCAGAGTTGAATATATCGAGGGTCATCTGGATGTCTTGCGCAGAGTGAGCCACCACTCAAACTGCAGGTCGTGGATGTCCCTCGTGCTCAGCTTCATCTTCGCCCGAAAACGTCCAACGTTGAAGAGCTTCCTGTCCAGACGGTACTGGATGCTGACGCCAGACAGAAGGCGACCGCGGACGGTGACCGTGATATCGATGGTGAATAAGGTGGGGCGGGGGGGGGGGGGGGCGATCACGTGCATGAGGTGGTCGTCCAGCAGTCCTCGAATCCCTTCATTGCCGTTGTAAAGAGAATCTCTCTCCGATCACTAGCATGGACGATGACATAGTCCAGGAAGTGCCATTGCTGCAACCTGGGGTGTTTCCATGTAGTCTTTTGTTGGTCTTTCTGGTGAAAGACTTTGTTTCTTTTGATCCGGCCGTGTTGGGTACACTTGGATAGGCAGAGGATGTCGTTGGCGTTGACTTTTCCCACCCCGTCCATGCCAATGGTTCTGCTCTAGATGCTGTGGTCACATCCAACCTGGGTATTGAAGTCACCCAGGAGTATGACCTCGTCGCTCCTCGGGATGGTGGTGAGGGTGTCATCGAGATCGGAGTAGAACTGCTCCTTGATGCTGTCATCAGTGTTGAGGGTTGGAGCATAGGCACTGATGACGGTTGTGGAGGCGGAGGGTGATCAGCCTTTCATTGACACCCTTGTGTGGGCAGTTCTAGGAGTGCATTGGCAATCTTATTTTTGACTGTGCAGCCAACCCCGTGGATCTGAGGTTCAATATCCATCTTCCCCTTCCAGAAGAAGGTTTAATACCCTCCTTTCCCTCCCCTCAGTTGCCCCTCTCCAGGAAATCGTGTGTCAATGAGAGCAGCGATGTCAATGTTGTGCTTCGCTAACTCTCTGGACACGATGGCCATTCTTCATTCAGGGCAATCATTCTTGATGTTGTCTGTGAGTGTTCTTACTTACCAGGTGTGCAAAATGTATCTTTCTTTTCGTTTTCTTAATGCCCGTTTAGTTTTTATTCTGCAAAAACTAAACGGTGATCACCCTGGGTGCGGTTTCCCAGCCAGGAAATGTGGAGTAGCCTATGTCAAGGTCACCTTTTCTAGCTCCTTCCCCCATGTGAGAGTGACCAGAGGGCATCCTAAAGAGTATTGCTCACCCGCCGATGTTACTGCCAAAGGACACCCCTATCCCAGTGGAGGGTTTCCAACGACCATATCACATCCACCGCATGCATGTAGAGTCTTGACCGAGGGCTTCCAGGTTCACGGCCCCGGCCCCACTTTCGGCGATCGTCCATCGCCGCAGGACTTTTCACGAACCTGATGAGAACCTGCGCGTGGATTTACGTGGGGACCCCGGTGCGCATGGGGTGGGGGGGGGGGGGATTCACACAATCTTGACAGGTTAGTGGCTGGATCCAGTGGTGACAACTGGAGCCACTTTGCCACTTTTCCCACTGCAGCCGTCGTTTGACCTTGCCGCCATGGATGACGCTACCAGGAGCACGAGGCTACCAAGAGCACGAGGCTCCTGACGGCTCTGCTCTTGGGATCATTGAAACAAGCAGACCTCTCCACCACAATACACTACTATACTACATTGAGAACTAATTTCTTTCGAACTGCTCGTTGGTTGTCGTTGCGTTTAGTTTTATGTTCTTCCACCACCTCCAATTAGTACGGCTTGCTACATACGTTACGGTGCACATGCACGCACACGTACGTATGAAAAAAAAAGCGTGACATTCTCCCCTCCACCCAACTTCAGTCGACAGCCATGTAGCCTCCCCCCACCCTCTTCTTTTTCCCCTGCCGCCCCCGGCCACTTGAGTGGGTCGCCATGTGCCGCCTGAGCACCTTTGAGTGGGTGAAGCTTTTGCCACAGACGGCGCAGGCGTGCGGCCTCTCGCCACTGTGGATGAGCACGTGGCTCTTGAGGTACGAGGGGTCGGCGTAGCACTTGGCGCACACGGGGCAGCGGTGGGGCCGCTCGCCCGTGTGTGTGAGCATGTGGCTCTTAAGGATGGACGACTGCGTGAAGCCGTTGCCGCACACGGGGCAGCGGTGGGGCCTCTCGCCCGTGTGCGTGCGCATGTGCACCCTCACCTTGGACGGGCAGATGAAGCGCTTGCCGCAGACGGCGCACGGGTGGGGCTTGTCGCCCGTGTGCGTGCGCATGTGGCTCTTGAGGTAGGAGGACTGCGTGAAGCCGTGGCCGCACACGGCGCAGCGGTGGGGCCGCTCGCCCGTGTGCGTGAGCATGTGGCTCTTAAGGACGGACGACTGAGTGAAGCCGTTGCTGCACACGGGGCACACGTGGGGCCGCTCGCCCGTGTGCGTGCGCATGTGGATCCTGAGCTTCGAGGGACAGATGAACCCCTTGCCGCACAGGCGGCAGCCGTTGGGCTTCTCGCCCGTGTGAGTCATCATGTGAATCTTGAGGTGGGGCGTCTGGGTGAAGGCCTTGCCACATATGGCGCACACGTGGGGCTTCTCGCCCGTGTGCGTCATCACGTGAATCTTGAGGTGCGCTGCGCGGACGAAGCCCTTGCCGCACGTAGGGCAAACGTGCGGAGGCCCTGCACCAGATGCCCTCTCGCACGCCGGGCACCTGCGCCCGTGGTGGCTGTGGCCGGGCTTCTCGACGCGAGCCTTCCGGTGATCGTCCGGGCGCGAGGCGCCGCCTGCCGCATCCTCTCCGCAGTCACGGCACCGGAAGGACCGCGGGCGGGCGGCCATCGGTGCGGCCGTCGGAGCTTCCGGCCCCGACGGCCCTTCGTTCGCGATGACGGTCCGTGGAGGTTCGTCGTCGTCGTCGCCGCCGAGCGGGTGCTGCTCCGTTCGCAATGGGCGGAGGTCGCGACGCAGACTCTGGAAGCCGGGAGGCCGGAAGCCGAGCGCAGCACTGAGATTCTCCCCCCTGCTAAATGCGCCGGGGCATCTTCTCACAGCTATCCCTGCAAGAGACAGAGGTTGGGGGGGGAGGGGGATGCCGACATTGGTTGGGTCTTATGGTATGGACTGTAAGTAAAACTCGACAATTTTTTGTTATATATGACCAGGTAAAGGCCCCACTGATCAGCTCTTTTTTCAGAAGCAACAGCTCAACGAAGTGGCTGACATCATCATCATCACGTGGGAATTTGTAGCAGCCAAATACTCTGAACGTGTGTTTCTACAGACTCAGGAGACCCACCCAGACCCATAGAGACCCATACTCAGAGCCCTAGAGACTCCCAGAGATCCAGAAACTCGTGCAGAACCATAGAGACCCATACAGATTCACTCATCGAGACCCATACTAAAACTAAACTAATTATTACTAAGTAATGCCCCAAACTTAATTGTGCAACTCTTTTTTTCAGAAGTGACCTGGTCATCACAAATGATAGCTAATCGAAGTGCCTTGGTCACGTGGAAATTCATAGCAGGAGCCAAATACTCAAAATGTTTCTAAATGTAGAGGGAAAAACTGGCGGAACCCAGAGAAAAATCAACGTCACCACGGAGAGACAGACACGGGCATACAGACATCCAAATATACAGCAGGCATCAGGGTCAAACCCACAACCTCCTGTATACCAGGCGAGGTAGTTAACATATCCTGGCCACTGTGGCGCCCAACTGCATAATTCACATCGACACATCCAGGATCTCAATGCGCGATCCGAATACTCACACACATCAAAACGCAGTGTCGACAGGCAGACTGTGGAGACAATACAGAGACTAGAGGGATAGACACTAGACAGAGCAGGGCTGGTGGCTCCCTCCCTCCCTTCCTCTCCATCTCCCTTCCTCCCTCCCTCCCTCCCGCCCCTCCCTCCTCCGTGTCCTTCCTCCGTGTCCCTCCCCCCCCTCCCTCCCCTTCTCCCCAACCTCACCTTTATCATCATTGTCGTCCTCCTCCACCTCCACCTCGATCTCCGCCACATCCACCGAAGCCGCCGGTCGTTCTGCCCACCGCCGCGAGCCCCACAGCTCTGCGGGCTTCACGCTGGGACCTCCTCCTGCTCCTCCTCCATTATCAGAGCGACGACTGAGAACCATCTCCCATCCGGCGCCGGCGTGCGTGTCCACCTTTACGATGCGAAGATCGCGGCGTCGTGGGACGACGTGCAGTTCCTCGCTCTTGATCGCGCCTCCTCCCTTTCCACCTCCCCCCGCTCTTCCTCCTCTGTCGTCGTAGGAGCCGGTTTGATCGTCGACAATTTCGTCCTTTCGCTCCGCTTTGACGTCCTCCTCTTTGATGCGAACGTCGAAGGTCCCTCGAGCTGCGACGGGGGTAGGAGGGGGGGAGGAGAGATGATGGAGATGACCATGGATATGACGACGCTGGTCTCATCGAGGAGAGGAAAAATCACCGCCGTCGTCATAGCGCGCACAAACTCCTCCCCCCAGGGTCGTCCGTCTTGGCAGCAGCCGTGGGGGCATTGGCGGCGGATTTTGGCGAGCCGTCGAACAAAGACGGTCACCGCATCGCGTGGCGCTTTCTGATGCAATTCTTCTGCGGTCGTCAATATTCGGAAGCCACAAACTCATTTCTTTATAACTGCTTCTTGGTGTTGTGTTTAGTCCTAACCCCCCCCCCCCCCCATGGCACCTCCGATTAGCATGGGTGGCTACACATGGTGGTATGAAAGAGAAGTTCACACGTACGGACATACATGATGACTATGATTATACATGTATGTTTGAGCTCAACACAAACATACTTAACAAACATGGGGAACTGATGCTGCTCATGAAGAATGACGATCAGAGATACAGGCAGCAGCAGGAGCGGCAGTAGCATCGTTACGTTTAATATTTCCGCAAAAAACCTTGCCTGAAAATGTTGACGTTGAAAGTCAAACCTTCCCCTCTTGAATCACAACTTCCAGTCTTTCAACCCTTTCCCGTTCCGATAGCGTACGTGTAAGTCATCAAAACAAAATGGAAGAAAAGGTAAAACAAAATAACATTCATCGGAAACCGAGGCTCACCCCCACAAGGCGCAGGATGGTTGTGTGTGCTGCAGTGTGGCATCTGTGGCGCGGTACAGTTTGTGGCATGGTACAGTTTGTTGCACGGTACAGTTTGTGGAGCGGTACAGTTTGTGGCGCGGTACAGTTTGTGGCACGGTACATTTTGTGGAGCGGTACAGTTTGTGGCGCGGTACAGTTTGTGGTACGGTACAGTTTGTGGAGCGGTACAGTTTGTGGAGCGGTACAGTTTGTGGAGCGGTACAGTTTGTGGAACGGTACAGTTTGTGGAGCGGTACAGTTTGTGGAGCGGTACAGTTTGTGGCGCGGTACAGTTTGTGGCGCGGTACAGTTTGTGGAGCGGTACAGTTTGTGGCGCGGTGCAGTTTGTGGTGCAGTACAGTTTGTCGAGCGGTACAGTTTGTGGAGCGGTACAGTTTGTCGAGCGGTACAGTTTGTCGAGCGGTACAGTTTGTCGAGCGGTACAGTTTGTGGCGCGGTACAGTCTGTGGCGCGGTACAGTCTGTGAAGCGGTACAGTTTTTGGCGCAGTACAGTCTGTGGCACGGTAGAGTTTGTGGCGCCAGCTACCATAGAGAGTGGCGATGGTCATGCCGCTACAGTTCTCTGTGGTGAGTAACGACCTCTTTATGAAACACAATGGCGCTGCTGCCACTACTATGCCTCACTGCAATAAAATTAATGTTGAGCCGCTCCCACATTCCGAGATTCAGCCGCGAACGGGACACCACCCACCCTGCAACTTGTAGACGTCCTGGGCATGCTAAAAGGGGCTAAGAAGCCTGCTGTCAAATCACCCAGGATCAGAATCAAAATGGTTTTTATACTGTAGTAATCCGATGAGCAACAACAACCGCCTATTCGCCACTAAGTGGCGGTGACATAACCACAGCACTTGTGCCAGGCTATGTGCACGTTAAGGCCATGTGAAGTCTTGAATGCCCGCTGGCAGGAGGATACGGGACAGACCCAGGTGCCATGAGTTGACAGATGACTGGCCGATGCACCACCTGTGCCCTCTAGTTTGCCAACTTTCTGTGTTTAAGCCGCCCGGCGCTGCGATCATTGTTGTGAGCATCGCTTCTCTGCCCTCCATTGTTAATGGAGAGCCACTACCTCCAACTGCCCAGCATCATCCTTCACGAGCCTCCTCCGCAGAGGCCGATCTTGATACTGCAGGTAACAGTCATTGGCAGGTCCAATCAGCTCTACATCCTCTCGTGCCACATCATTCCACCAATGGGACTGTGCCCAGATCTTTCAAGGATTCGTGAGCTCCTCACACAATGCAGCCTGGTTAAACCCAAGACTGATCATAGGCAGGACAGCCAGCATATCTCTAACTGGCATATATGTTCCATTAAGGGGGTCCACGTTTCGCAAGCATAGAGAAGGGAGGGATTGACCGTGGTCGAGAAGACTTGAAGCTTTGTGTGGAGCTACACCGTGTTACGCAGCCGATGAAAAGACAATACCGTTCGACGAATTCGGAGTGAGACTTCTGATGTCAAACCGGCGCTGGTCATAAGCACACCACCCTGATACAGAAACTTTTCCACTCTCTCCACAACTCCCCCACTAATAGGGGTTGAGAGGATGGAGTGCTCAATGATACAAAATACCCAGGCAGGTGCTTAGTTTTTGTGGGGCTGATGGTAAGGCCCCACCTCTTAGTGGCACGCTCCAGATTCAGCAGCAGCATCTCCAACTCCTTCTCTGAAACTTTTCCACTCTCTCCACAACTCCCCCACTAATAGGGGTTGAGGGGATGGAGTGCTCAATGATACAAAATACCCAGGCAGGTGCTTAGTTTTTGTGGGGCTGATGGTAAGGCCCCACCTCTTAGTGGCACACTCCAGATTCAGCAGCAGCGTCTCCAACTCCTTCTCTGAGTGAGCAGAAATCTCCAGGTCATCAGCATACATAAAATGGTTGATCAATAGGGAGCCATCCCTTGACTGCACCCAAGCATCGATCAACCACCTTCCATTGTATCTGTACCAGATGGAGATTTTTACCGGTACAGCCATGGAAAGCTTCTTGGACTACATGGTCAAAAAATGTTAAATAATGTAGGAGCCAGAGGTCAATAAAGCAAAGATGTAGGTCTTGTTAGAATTCCCTACAGCTCTGCTGTAGCAGATGGACAGACAATACGGCATCCGTGCATGACCGCCCTGGTCTAAAACCACATTGGGGCTCCGCAAGCCTCTCCTCTGCATCCTTGGCAAGGCGATGTTGAATAATCCTTGCCAGGATCTTTCCCGGCACAATGAGGGAGATGCCCCTGTAGTTGTTCCAGTCTGTGTGGTCCCCCTTCTTCAAGAGGGGGACCACCAGGGCATCCTTCCAATCCTGCGGAACCCGTCCAGTGATCCATACAGTCATTATGTCATATAGGGCAGTCTACACACAAACTCCACCCTCCCTCACCAGATCGATTGGGGGATCATCTCTGCCCGGCACTTTTCCTGGTCGCAGACTCTGGATCAACTTCCATACTTCCTCAACAGATGGTACCTCAGCCAGCCACTCACAGGTGGTGACTACTTCCAATATTTGAGGGACAGCAGCCTCAGCAGGGTCATCCCCCTTTTGCCCCATGATGTTTTCTGGGCTGAGGGATTTCTGCTCCCCCAAGATCTCACATAAATGTTCAGCAAACCTGCAAACCTGTTCCAGCGGGTCAGAGATAAGATCACATTTCTTTTCCCGAAGGATGGTAATACTGTAGGTGTGGCACTGCAAATTACATTTTTGATGAGATTAAAGAGTGATATGTGATCATGGGCATTTGAGGCAAATTCCATCTCCTTAGCAACTCGCAACCACCACTCATCCTGGCAGTGCCGCACAGCTCTCCGAACCTCTGAGCGAAGGCTGCGGTACGCCTCCTCATTCACCAACGTGGGATGCTGTAGATGGTGGGAGTGGACCTGTCACTTGTTCTCCTCCATCAGCCAGGGAAAGTCTGGGCTGCATTCCCAAAGCAGCCATTGCAGTTGCATGAGCCACAGTCCTAACCCTCGCTCATTCCCTTGTCATCAGGAGGAAGGGGGTGGAACGATGCCAACCCCAGCTGCAAGCGATGATGAAATTCTTGCAACTTTCATCAGCTCGCTGAGACCATGCCACTGTGGGTTTGAATGGGGTCCTTGATGTACACCCACCACCAGAGTGGAAGAATAGCAGGTGCATCTTACAGATGACAAGCCGATGGTCAGAGGGCAAATCAGGTCCACGGTAGGTCCTGGTGTCAAGGACATGGGCCCCCATCCGCTGTTCCGTCACTAGCAGCAGATGTTCTTGCTTGGACCCGGCATGCATCCATGATGTTGTGTGGATGCGTCAATGATGGAACAGCGTGTTGGTAATTACAAGCAGATGGGCTGCAGAAAAATCTGGCAGCCTCCTACCGTTGTTATTGAGCTGATCTGGATATTTTTCACAGACGTCCAGTAGGGGTACGCGGGTCAGAAAGTTACAGCAACAAATTATATTAAAAACACGATAGGAGTGCAGGGTATAGGGAAGGTAAGCAGGAAAAGTCCACCGAGGTATTAGCGTATTTTTCAGAAGCAACCTGACCACAAATGATAGCTGAAAGAAGTGGGCTTATCGCCATCACGTTTAAATTCATAGCAGCAACCAAAAACTCTAAACGCGTGACGTTCATTCTAAATGTGGAGGGAAAACCGTAGGACCCGGAGAAAAATCCACGTGACCACGGGGCGAGAGAGACGCGCAAACTGTGGGTCTCTGGTTCTATAGAAGTATGGGTCTATGGTTCTATATGGTTCTATATGAGTATGGGTCTCTCTGGATCTATAGGAGTATGGGTCTCTAATGAGTGTAGAATCAACGTGCTACTATACATTTCCACATGATGATGATGATGATGATATCAGCCCACTTTGTTGGGCTATCACTTGTGATGGCTACACAGCTCAGTGGGGCCTTACCTGGTCACGTAAACATCGTTAATAGTTTAAGAGTTTAGTTTGTGATGGCCAGGCTGCTTCTGATGAAGAACTACACAACTAAGTGAGGCCTTACCTGGAAAAAAAAAATGAAAATAAAGATTTAGCTTAGAGTCACCTGCGATGCCACAGACCCATAACATCCCCACAGCGGCAGTCTCTGGCGAACCGGCGGCATAGCGACCCCAGGCGTGGTCAAGGCAGCCGCCTGTCCCTTGCCTGGGCCATGGCCCAGAACGACGGCGACGGGACGAGCAAGGGGACGAGGGTGAGGGCACGACCGGAACCGGAACGCCACCATAGCCTTGCGCACACGCACACACACGCACGCACGCACACAATTACAGGGGGTCCCCCTCCCTATCGAGCTCAAACAGTCTGTTGGGGCAAGTGCTATTACTATTACTTACTGTTTTAGTAAGTAATACTAACTCATAGAGATCCGAACTTGTAAAGAACCATAGAGATCTACTCATATAGAACCAGAGACCCATGCTCATACCGAACCATCGACACCCATATTCATGCAGAGCCATAGAGACCCATACTTATATAGAAACATAGAGAACTACAGAGACTCATAGAAACTCACCCACAGAGACCGATAGAGACCCCCAGAGAACCAGAGACTTATATAGACCCACAGTGAACCACAGAGACCCAAAGACCCACAGAGACCCATTCTCATCGAGACCCACAGAGATTCAGAGACTTATATACAACCATAAAAGACCCACAGAGACTCATTCTCATAGAGTCCCACAAAGATCCAGAGACTTAAGCACTCACTTTTGTCGTCGTCGTCCTCCTCCTGTCTCTCCACCTTCACCTGCACGCACGTCTCACTCCAGCGCCTCTCAACATCTCCTCCGCTCACCGACGGCTCCGTTGGACGAACGGCGGCCACCTCCTCCTCCACCTCCTCCTTCTGCTCCTGCTCAACGTCACCTGCGCGGAGTGAAATTCAGCACAGCAGAGAGAGAGACTCAGGCTGCTGCTGCTGATGATGATCTCTCTCGCTGTAGACCAAATCAAGCCTCCAGTAAACCACGTGGCTTCTGTGTACGCAGTGTTAAGTCTATGGCGCAGTGTTGAGTTTGTGGGTAGTGTTGAGTCTGGGGGCAGTGCTGAGTCAATGGCAGTACTGAGTCTATGGCAGTGCTGAGTCTATGGTGGCAGTGCTGAGTCTATGGTGGCAGTGCTGAGTCTATGGGTAGCAGTGCTGAGTCTATGGCAGTGCTGAGTCTATGGCAGTGCTGAGTCCATGGTAGTGCTGAGTCTATGGGCAGTGCTGAGTCTATGGCAGTGTTGAGTCTATGGCAGTGCTGAGTCTATGGCAGTGCTGAGTCTATGGAGTCCTCACCCCCAGCAGCGTCTCCGCTCCGTGTGTCCCCTCTGTGTGACATCTCACGGCCCTCGCGGTCTCCTGCAGCTCCGCGCCACCGGACGGCGATGGAGACTCTTCCTACTCCTCCTCTTCACACGATGATGGTGGTTGAGCAGCTTCCTTGTTCACCTCGGCTCCCGTGAACTCAAGACGCCGGCCATCGTGGTCGCCGTCGACTGGATAGAGATCTTTTGGAGAAAAAAAAGTTTAAGAAAAGTTAATTCTAAAAAAGTTAAAAAAAGAAAAGTAAACACAAGTCTAAAGAAAGTAAAATAAGAAAAAAGTCTACATTTTTTAAAAAGAAAGTCTAAAAAGGTTAAAAAGGTAAAAAGAAAGTAAAAAAATGTGAACAAAAAGTCTAAATAAAGTTGTGCAGATTCATCAATGTGGAGACCGCTGCTTCCCAGCTCCTTCTCTCTCCCTGCTCATGGCCTCATTTCGATTCAAAACCGTTGATTTATTTTTGTCCCACCAGCAGTGAGCCCCCCACCCCCGGCTGAGCTGCGTAGTCACTCTTTGTTCTTTGGAAAGCAAACTCCGGCCATCGCTCGTAACGATAGCCCGACGAAGTGGGCTTCATCGTCGTCATCGTAACCATGTTTATGTGACCAGGCAAGGCCCTACTGAGAGTGTAGATCTTCAGAAGTGACCTGGCCATCACAAACAAAACTCTTCAACTATTAACTACTAGCTTTTTTTGCCTGTTCAAGGACGGGTGTATATTGCAGTAAATCTGAAATATTCAATAGAAAAATTGTTCAGCTCATGATTATTAATGAGGGGGGGGGGGGGGTTGCCCCATGTGGAGTGACGTCACACGCTAATGGTTATTGTGGAGGGGTGCAGCATGTGGAGTGACGTCACCCGCTCATGATTATTAATGAGGGGAAGGGTGCGGCATGTGGAGTGCGCGACCTCCTTGTGCGTTAATGTAAAATTCCACGCAGGCATAAATATTAATAAAGGGGGGGGGGTTCTTTTGCAGTGACATCACGCACGGATGTAGCACTGTGCTGCGTATAAAAAATTTCTGTAAAGAAATGTCATATTTGAAGCGACTTTGCATAATAAATAATTTAATTCATCTCGACCTTCCTCTGCGTTAGTGTAAAAATCCACCCAATCATGAATATTAATGAAGGGGGGTGGACCTCATGTGGAGTGACGTCACGCGGGGGACACATTCTTGGCTCATTATATTAACTATGTTTATGTGACCAGGTAAGGCCCCACTGAGAGTGTATATATTTTTAGAAGTGACCTGGCCATCACAAGTAATAGCCCAACGAAGTGGGCTGTCATCATCATCATGTGGAAATATATAGCACCCACATTGATGGTACACTCATTAGAGACCATTACTCATGTAGAACCAGATAGACCCATACTCATATAGAACCATAGACCCATACTCATATATCATCATCGTGTGGAAATGGATAGCAGCCAATTTAATGCTACACTCATTAGAGACCCATACTCATAAAGACCCATAGAAACCCATACAGAACTATTGAGACTCATACTCATAGAACCTTAGATACCCACTCATATAGACCCATTAGAAACCCACTCATATAGGACCATAGAGACCATAGTCATATAGAGCTACAGAGAGCCATACTCATATTAGAAGCGTAGAGACCCAAAATAACCCATATCTATCGATACCTATATTAAAACGAAACTATTTTTATTTCACCAGGTAATACCCACAGAGCTATGCTGTTATTGTTTTCAAAAGCGACCCTGACCACCACAAATGACAGCCCAACAAAGTGGACTGATATCATCGTCGTGTGGAAATGTATAGCAGCAGCAGCAACATCCAAATAACTCTCTAAACGCGTGGTGACGTTCATTCTAAATGTGGAGGGGAAAATCCGGAGGACCCGGAGAAAAATCCACGCGACCACGGGGAGAGACGCAGACTCCAAACATACAGCAGGCGTCAGGTTCGGGATCGAATCCACGACCTCCTGCATACCAGGAGAGGTAGTTAACATCTCCCAGCCACAAAAAAATCAGCAGACTCCCTGCTGGATCTCCTCACTGTTTCGAAGAACAAATGTGACCCAAGGTCTTCGCTCATGTACAAGCATCACATTCCTTCATGTCATACAAATACAGGAGGGAAGGGCCTTTGCTATTGATGCCCCCAGGATCTGGAATGCTATCGCCAATAAACTGCAATTTGGATCACTACCTGTGAGATCTTCACTCAAAACTGCTCTAGAGGAGCTGTACACCCCTAGCTGCCACTGCTATTCATAGTGGCCTGAAATCAAATGTATCACTCCGGATGACCGCTGCAAGGTATGATCTTGAGTTTTTGTTATAGTGTGCTGATCTTTAAATGTGCATTGAACATTTTTGATACTCCTACTGATACTCCTGCTGTTATGGAGTGACTCATGCTGCCAGCTATGGCTGCAAAGTTTGATCGTACATGTTATGTATATCGTTTATTGTTAAATTTGAATCACAGTTCCTATGATCACTATTACATTGCTTTTACAGATAGTCCCCGAGTCATGATGGTCCGACTTACGATATTTCGATCTTACGATGGCGATACGACAAAATTGTAAAATATTTTAAATTTCGCGCGGCAGGCAAACGCAGCAGCGTACGAGGTACGATGTAGTACGTTGGGACGCTGCCGGGATGTACGCATCTCCCGCCCAAGCTAATGTAGCCATCAACAACCTAACATCGTTCAAGTATGCAGACGACAGACATAATCTTGGTGAGTACAGTACAATATGATACGTTACGTTCAATGCATGTTCAAAGTTTTTTTTTTATAGCGGATAGGATTGTTTCCTGAAAAAACTTTCTATTAAATTGCAATTCATATGGTTAGGCTAAGAATTTACCTTGTTTTTTTACTTTACATTTTACTGTGCAATACAGTATTGTAATTAATACAGTATATAGTTTATACAGTACGGTACTGTAAATTGCTCCGTTTTGATAAATTATCACCATTCTTTAAGACTCCTGGGTAGGCTAAGCCATATTCGACTTACGATATCTTTGACTTACGATGGGGTCGTCGTAACGCATCTCCATCGTAAATAGACGACTACCTGTATAGGTTTATTTTGGTGATTTTGAAAACTTTTGGTTTAGCCATGTTTGTTGAAGTACAGAGTTAGCCTGAACACTTTACTCTAAATTGTCTTATGGTTGTTATATTGTTTGACTTGCATCCCACTGGGATTTTTGCACACAGCATTGATATGCGGTGCTTTTTCTGGAAGATTTTGATGTTTTTTTTCCTGGATTTTCTGTTGCGAGTAGTCACTTTAAGATGTTCTTTGTTCATGTTTTTGTTTGTTGCGGTTGCACCCGAGTCAAGAGCCACATGGCTCACAGGGTTATACCTAATACATGGAACTGAAATGAAACTGAACCGTGGCATTAGGTTCCGTATGGAACCCACGACCTCCTACATACTAGGAGAGGTAGTTAACATCTCCATAGCCACCGCTGCGTTAGATTGAGGATCGACCCCACGACCTCCTGCATACCAGGAGAGGTAGTTAACATCTCCCAAGCCACAGTGGCACCCTACAGCATACACACAGTGCGATTCTACTGCACAGTACCTATGGTGCGTATGAACTTCAACATATACGCTACACTACTATACACTACATACTCTACACTACAATATTATACACTATACTATACACTACACACACTATTATACACCACACTATATACTACACTATTATACACTGCACTATAAACTACACTATATACACTACATTATACACACTACACTATATAAACTACACTATACACTACACTACAATGAGAACTGACAACTGTTTGTTGCTGTTGATATATCGATGTGTCGTTGTTGTGTCGTGTATTGTTGTTGTGTCGTTTGTTGTTGGTGTTGTTGTGTCGTTTGTTGTCATCCCCCCCCACCCATCAACGCACTTTCGACGAGCTACGGGCTGGCCAGCGTACGAAGTTCACACCCACACACCACACGTACACACTACATACACACACAACATACAACACACCCACACACAACATACAACACACGTACACGCAACATACAACACACCCACATACATCATACAACACACCCACACACAACATACAACACACGTACACGCAACACGCGTGCAACATACGTAGCATCACCATGCATCGCCGTAACCACCAGCGGCTTTGCAGGCACCTCCGTGCGGGAGACGGAGCCGATTGTGGTGATGATGGTGACAATAAAAAGAAGAATAAAGATGAATTGCCGAAAGAACCGAAGAGTAAAAATGATGGAAGTGTAAAATATAAAAAATATATAAACACAAGTCCAAAGGACGGCTAAATGCGGGCCAAGACGCGGCGCTGAGGATTTGGAGGAGGAAGCGGCCCATCACCCCCCCCCCCCCATCTTCTATTTAAGCTCAAAAACACGTAAGGCTTTCGCAGCCAATATCATCCATAATACAAATCTGGCTGTCCACCTGATGAAGCTAGTTATAATTAGTGGCGAAACGGCGTACTCGGATTGTAAATGATGTGGCTTTGCTCTTCAACACACCGGTGTGCTGTACTAGTATACTACACTATACACTAATATACACTACACTATGCTATACACACACTACACTATATACTACACTATATACTACACTATGCTATACACTACGCACTACACACACTACACTATATACTACACTATACTACACACTAGTGCTGTACTAGTAAACTACACTATACACTACTATACACTACACTATACACCACACTATACACTATCTATACACTACGCACTACACACACTACATTATATACTACACTATACACTACACACTAGTGCTGTACTAGTGTAGAACTCGTACTAACGCGACAGCTTCTTTGTCTTTCTCGTTTCTTTATTAACGCATATAGTTCACATCTCCTCCGACAGAATCACTCAATGTTCCTCCATACTCTTCAACGCACAACTCCCCATCAACCTCACTCAATGTCCCTCCGTTCGCTCGCTCCGCCCCGCTGCTTTGCTCTCTCTCTCCACCAAGGTCCGTTACTCCGCTTCTACCCTACGCTGTACTCGCTCCGTCCTTGCTACTCTATCCGTACTCTCTCTATCCACTGCTACCGTATACCGTATTCTCTTTGTCCACTGCTATCTTATACTATACACTCTTGTCCACTGCTACCTTATACTATACACTCTTGTCCCAGGCACCAACTCCAACTCCCGTTTCTCCATACGCTCTCTGTCTTTATCCCCGAACCAATTAGCCCCAATTAATTATGTCATCTCCCGCTTCGCTACTCGCCCCCCCGGCCCCCAGTGTCACACGATGTTGTTGTTCTAGACACCCCGGCGCCCCTCTCAGACACTCACACCTCTCGACCAATCACCGGCCTGCGTCCTCGATTACCCCGAACACCTGCAGGTCTCCCTTAATTACCGTACCACCTTAATTGGCACAATAACAACAGTATGGCGCCCAGCTGGCTGTGTCCCCGTTTGCCCTCACTGTCTCCCCGCGTGTCCGTATCACAACCCAATGCGTGACGCGTGTTTTCTCAAGTCCTACACTAGTAACGAATTGGCACGTTCTGTTTACGTGACAAACCTTACTAATTGGCTGTGTCGGGTGGTGGCAGGTTTAACGACACTTTTAAATATTTACGTGATCCAACCCCAAAAAACCTCTATTATGACGAAAAACTTAACATTAAACTGTTGATTATTTACGACTCGTTCAACATGTAGGCTTTTGCGACCAACATCATCCACAATATAGGTTTCTTTTTTGTGTTAGATCGCGTAACCCACCACCACCCGACACAGCCAATTAGTAAGGTTTGTCACGTAAACAGAACGTGCCAATTCGTTACTAGTACAGCACTAGTGTGTAGTGTAGTGTATAGTAGTGTATAGTGTAGTGTATAGTAGTGTATAGTGTAGTTTATAGTGTAGTGTATAGTGTAATATACTAGTCCAGCACACCGGTGTGTTGGAGAGCAAAGAAACAAACATTAACAATCCGAGTACGACGTTTTGCCAGTAATTACAACTAGCTTCATCAGGCGACAGCCATATTTGTGGAGACATCCTCCTGTTATTATTTACTACTAGTTCATAAAGGGCTGTCTTGGCCAGGCACACGTTCGCAACATGATATAATAATTAACTTGATATTATTTTTTGCTCTCTTTTTTTAAAATCTACGATCAGTGAACACCGAACGCCTTTTGACATTCTCTGGTCTGACACTGGTAGTGAGGATAGCCCCGAAAGAAGGCTGCCATCTATGGTGTTGGCCAATCATTTTCAAAGACAATGCCATAGATTATAATCAGAGCCATGGTTAATCTTCTTGGTTCTTTCGGTAAAGTCCTCTTGATATGCAAATTATTTTGTCAAGGCGCTCTTCCCCCTCCAACCCAGCTTAAATATACGCTCCAAGCCTGGGGTGTTTCATTCAGACACTGTCTTCCCGACAGACCTGTTCTTCACCTGAGGACAGCTGCTTGCGTTGTGGCCGAAACGTCGTGAGAATGATTTTATGTTTTATTTTTATTATTTTATTATTTCCCTTCTACGTGACTTTACCGAAAGAACCAAGAAGACACATTTCAGCTGTCTACGTTGTCGGGAAGTGCCCTAGAGGGACACATAGATTGAGGTATTTTTTCACGTAGAAGATATTTTTTTTATCCTGTTGTGTGTGCCCTAAAATCTATCCGCGTACCAAATTGCAGCTGTCTACCTTGTCGGGAAGTTTCCCAGAGGTTTGTTGAGACACACAGATTCAACGCTGTCGAATCATACGGTTTACCCCGCATTCTTGTACAGGGAAATTGAAATTTCAGGTCCATACGGTGTACAGCCGTTTCAGTAAAGGGAACAACAAAGGTTTGTCTGTGTATTTTTCCCTTGTGATGGGGCTTTGTAGGATGAACATTGAAATGTATAAGGGGCACGGTGTGACCAATCAGGTCTGAATTGGTCTGTAATAAGATAGGCACCGTATGCAGATTAGGGTCTTTATTTATATACATGATAGAAGATAGACGTTTCTATCTCCTGTTGTATGTGCCATGAAAGCTGCCCATGTACCACATTTCAGCTGTCTACCTTGTCACGGAAGTCGCCCAGAGGTTTGTTGAGACGCACAGATTAAGGTTTGTATTTATATACATGATAGAAGATAGACGTTTATCCTTGTTGTGTGTGTACTACAAGCTAAATATGTCGCAAATTTCAGCCGTCTTCCTTGTCGGGAAGTCGCCCTAGAGGTTTGTTGAGACGCACAGATTAAGGTTTTTATTATTATTGAGTGGGGGGGGGGGGGGTGTTCAGTACTCAAGTGAGCCGCTTTCTCCGCTATGTAGCCGCCTCCTTAGCTTGGTGGCGCGCAGCGTCTCGCCTGGGCTACATCCAGTCTACATCTAGCCTCCATCTAGCATCCATCCAGTCTACACCTACACCCAGTCCACATTCAGTCTACACCCAGTCTATATCTAGCCTCCATCTAGCATCCATCCAGTCTACATCTAGCCTCCATCAAGTATACACCCAGTCCACACCCAATAGTCTACACCCAGTAGTCTACACCATGTAGTCTACACCCTATAGTCTACACCCAGTAGTCTACACCAGTCTACAGTCAACATCTAGTCCACACCCAATCTACAGTCCACACCCAGTAGTCTACACCCAGTCTATAGTCTACATCCAGTCCACACCCAGTCTACACCCAGTCTACAGTCTACACCCAGTCTACAGCCTACACACAGTCTACACTCTACACCCAGTCCACACCCAGTCTATAGTCTACACCCACTCCACACCCAGTCTACACTCAGTCTACACCCAGTCTACACCCAGCCCACACCCAGTCTACACCAAGTGTACAGTCTACACCCAGTCTACACCCAGTCTACAGTCTACACCCAGTCTACACCCAGTCTACACCGAGTCTACACACAGTCTACACCGAGTCTACAATCTACACAGTCTACACCCAGTCTACACCCAGTCTACGTTTATACCCAGTCCACACCCAGTATATAGTCTACACTCAGTCTACATCCAATTCTACACCTAGTCCACACCCAGTAGTCTACACCCAGTCTACATCCAGTTTACACCCAGTCTACATCTAGGTTGCGTGAAGTTGCTTGAAGAAGTTGCATGAAGTCGCGTGCAGTTGCCTGAAGTTCATTGAAGTTGCTTGAAGAAGTTGCATGAAGTTCCTTGAAGCTGCGTGAAGTAGTTTGAAGTTGATCGAAGTTGCTTGACGCAGCGTGAAGTAGCGTGAAGCAATTGATCGAAGTTGCTTGACGCAGCGTGAAGTTGTGTGAAGTTGCTTGAAGTTGCGGGAAGAAGTTTCGTGAAGTTGCGTGAAGTTAATTGAAGCTGCGCCTGCCGTTCCGGGTCACGTTCCCGCGTCTTCTGTGCCCCCTGCAGAGTCGCCGGTGGCGTGAGAGCCGGGGGGGGGGGGCACCGGGGGATGGCGTTTCGACGGGATGCTGACGGCGACGACGACGACGGTGAATTTGGTGGTGGTGCTGCTGGTGCTGGTGGTGCTGCTGGTGGTGCTGCTGTTGGTGGTGCTGCTGGTGGTGGTGCTGTTGGTGGTGGTGGTGGTGCTGCTGGTGGTGGTGGTGCTGCTGGTGGTGCTGTTGGTGGTGCTGCTGATGATGGTGGTGCTGCTGGTGGTGGTGCTGCTGCTGGTGGTGGTGCTGTTGGTGGTGCTGCTGGTGGTGGTGGTGCTGCTGTTGGTGGTGCTGCTGGTGGTGCTGCTGGTGGTGGTGCTGCTGGTGGTGGTGGTGCTGCTGGTGGTGGTGCTGCTGGTGGTGGTGGTGCTGGTGGTGGTGCTGGTGGTGCTGCTGGTGGTGGTGCTGCTGGTGGTGGTGCTGCTGGTGGTGGTGGTGGTACTAGAGGTGGTGCTGGTGGTGTGGTGTGAGGGGGGGGGGGTGTGAGGGGAGCAGTGGCTCAGCCAGCGGTTTGTGCTTCCGCCACGCACTGAACTCCGGCAGAGACCCGGGTTCGATTCCCTCTCACGGTTCCCACCCGCGGCCACCATCACTAGTGACAGGCAATTATCTGAACAGGTTCCTGGGCCTGCTCCCCTAGGTCGACTCAGCTTCGAATGAGTACCTGGTGTGGCGGTGTGTATCAACACCTGTTGATAGCTTGGGTAATACATCTTTTGTACCAGATATTAATTTCTATATTTTATGTACCGTACCAAATCTGACTCGGATGTTTTGTTCTTCCAAACATCTGGCTAGATTTGGCATGGTACATAAAATGCTTAAATGAATATCTGGTACAAAAGATGTATTACCGAAGCTGTCAACAGGTGTTTACCGGATCAATTGTACTTGTGACAAATGCTATGTTGGGCAAACAGGACGAATGATCAGCAGGAGGCTAACAGAACACCAAAGAAATATAAAATACTCCCAAATACAACTGTCGGCAGCGGCAGAACACACGTGCCAACAAGGACACTCAATTGATTTTTGATAATGTTGATGCTTTGTGCGATACTAGTTACTACTGACCAAGGCTAATTAGAGAATCTATCGAAAATGAGAGAACTAAAAATATTTTTTTACCGTTCAGGTAGCTACAGACTTGGTGGTGCTTGGAAGCGAATCAATCAACAGGTCACCATATTTCAATACGGATTACAGTTGGCGGGGCTATTTTAGTACAAACAATTGACAGGAAGTATAACAACAATGGGCTTGCATAATGTGCATACATAATGTATGTTGATTACGATATAAATAACCCAAAAGGCAATGGATACCCATAGTTATTTATACGCATTTATTAATCCCCACCCACTTCGCGCAAGAAGAACACACAAGCGTTGTCATCACATCAACCCTCTATTTAAGGTACTTTAGAGGATGATTTCTCCACAAATCTGGCTGTCACCTGATGAAGCTAGTTGTAATTACTGGTGAAACGTCGTCTCAGATTGTAAATGATATGGCTTTGCTCTCCAACACACCGGTTTGCTGTACTCGTGTAGTATCAGCGGAGCGGGAGACAAGGTTTTTGAGGAGGCACCTGCTTTATTCAACACTTCAGGTTCACAGATTCTCCCTTGCTTCTCCCAAGTCGTCTAGCCTAGCCTTGACAGAACCCTGACCGTGTTACACCAACGGCGCCAACTATCTGGCCACGCAATATTTAGCGAAGACGGCAGTGACGAAGGCGGCGAATACGACAGCGACGAGTCCACTTCCTACAACCGGCAGCCACGAGCTCCCACTCTCCAATGCTTTTATGCTACCCGGCGCGGTCTGGCTCCACCCTGGCCGCGCCTGCCTTTTCGAACTCATTAGCGGGTTCCAGGGCCTTCCAGACGGGGTCTTCTATGACCCTTGCCCCAGTTCCTCTGTCCTGCCGACACACCCGCGTATATGCTCACCGGCGTGTGTACTGCTCGTCCACCGCTGGGCTATTGCTGGACAACAGACTACACTAGTAACGATTTGGCATGTTCTGATTACGTGACACACCTTACTAATTGGCTGTGTCGAGTGGTAGCGGATTTAACGATACATTTATATATTTACGAGATCTGACCCAATCAACCTGTATTATGGATGAAATTGGTCATGAAAGCCTACGTGTTAAACTGACTATACAATGCACTATAAACTACACTACTATACACTACACTATACACTAAACACGACACTATACACTACACGACTATATACTGCACTACACTGTACACTTCACTATACACTCCACTATGCACAGGTTGCAAGTAAAGGTTTAAGAACCACCGGTCTGAATTAATTATTCTTCCTGCAGTATGAAATAAGTCGAACCGATTCTCGCCGTGTCTTTTTCTTTGTTGGTTTCGGGACAGGCGATGCGGTGGAGCATTCCCCGTCGTGGCCACCGACCGTCAAGCGAGAGGCTGGCGGACACGGGGCCGGGGCTGAGACGCGGCCACGCGTGAAGGTGGAGCCACGAGAGCCGCACGACGGTGAGTGGACAACTGTGGAGTGGAATCTCTGTGGTGGAGTAGAATCTCTGTGGAGTGGACTCTCTGGAGTGGATTCTCTGTGGAATGTAATTTGTGGAGTGGATCTCTGTGGAATGGATCTCTGTGGAGTGTATTTTGTGGAGTGTATTTTGTGGAGTGGAATCTGTGGAGTAGAATCTCTGTGGAGTGGATCTCTGTGGAGTGGAATCTCTGTGGAGTGGAATTTGTGAAGTGGAATCTGTGGAGTGGATTTTTGTGGAGTGGAATCTGTGAAGTGGATCTCTGTGGAGACCCACAGGGACCCATAGAGACCCATGGAGACCCACAGAAACACACAGAAACCCATAGAGACCCATCCTTAACTCCCCTTTCCCCGTGTCTGAGACGTCTGCTAGTCGCAGGGTCAGGGGTGGGTGTCCCCATTCACCGCCCAATCTCGGGGAATGTGCAAAGCGGCTGAAGCATTAATTTTTATTGCAAGCGAGGCACAGTAGCAGCAGCGTCGTTGTGTGTTTATTAAAGACGACATCACTCACCGCAGAGAACCATAGCGGCACGTCCGCCGCCATTCTCTATGGTAGCTGGCACCACACGACAACCCTCCCGCACGTAGTCCTTGTTGGTTCTGCGGTGCCAAATGAGATGCTAACTACTTCGTCTGGTATGGAGGAGGTAGTGGGTGCGATCCAGACCCTGACGCCTGCTGCTGTATATTTGGAGTTTGCGTCTCTCTCTCTCACCATGGCTAAGAGATGTTACCTCCCTCGCCTTGCATGCATGAGGTCGTGGGTTCGATCCCGACCCTGACGTCTGCGGCTATAAGGAGTCTGCGTGTCTCTCTTTCGCCATGGCCGTGTGGATTTTTCTCCGGGTCCTTCGGTTTTTTCCCTCCACATTTAGAACCAACATCACCACGCGTTTAGAGAGTAATTTAGCTGCCACTATAAATTTCCACATGATGATGATGATAACAGCCCACTTCGCTGAGCTATCATCTGTGATGGGCCAGGGTCGCTTCTGAAAAAGACTTATGTAACTCAGTGGGTTCTTACCCCTGGTAAAATAAAAACAAGTAGGGGTTTGCGACCAATATTATCCATAATACAGATTTTTTTTTGGGTGAGATCACATAAATACAGGATGCTTCAAAATTATTTATTAAATTTCTGAGAATTTGCAACAATACCACAAGAAATGTGCCTCCGGGTTTTGGAGACCACCTGGAGAAGATTCCATGCATGTGTTTACAATGATGGTGAACAAGTGGAGACTATTTGACTTTTTGAAGCTATTAACATGCGTTTGTTATGTTACAGTGTATTATCCTATGGGGACCTCATTTGCCAGTAAAAATATGATAATTGGTTCTTTACCCTTCTATCTGGCAACAAAACTGACACCTTTTTGCAAGGAGTCATGTTTGCATAGACCGCAATACCTGCAGTCATAATACAAACAAAAGAACATAACTCTGATAATGTGCACTGTCCCTGAAGTTGATTGGTCCACACCCGAGACAGCTTTCCTTCGAGCCTAGTCTCATATGGGTTGGACCAGATGACGCCAAAAGTGCGCCTTTTGGCGTCATCTGGTCCAACCCATATGAGACTAGGCTCGAAGGAAAGCTGTCTCGGGTGTGGACCAATCAACTTCAGGGACAGTGCACATTATCAGAGTTATGTTCTTTTGTTTGTATTATGACTGCAGGTATTGCGGTCTATGCAAACATGACTCCTTGCAAAAAGGTGTCAGTTTTGTTGCCAGATAGAAGGGTAAAGAACCAATTATCAGTGTATTATCCGTTCTTTTCCATTAAAAACGATAGTCCCATATAAGTGTTAAAATATTTTTAAGCAACCTGTATATAAAAGTGTCGTTAAACCTGCCACCACCCGACACAACCATTTAGTAAGGTTTGTCACGTAAACTGAACGTGCAAATTCGTTACTGGTACAGCACACTGGTTGTGTGTTGGAGAGCAAATCCACAACATTTACAATCTGGGTACGATCTGTTGTGGTTTTGCTCTCCAACACACCGGTGCCCTGTACTAGTAACGAATTGGCATGTTCTGTTTACGTGACAAACCTTACTATACACTACCCTACACTACTATACAGTACACACTACACTACTGTACACTATACTATACACTGTGCTATACACAATTAAACACTACACTATACACTACACTTTTATACACTACACACTACACTATTTTACACTACACACTACTATACACTACACGACTATACATGACACTGCTACCCTATTCACTACTATATACTACACAGCTATACACACCACTATACACTACACTGGTATACACTACACTACTATCCACTATACTATAGACTACACTGGTATACACTACTATACATGACACTATTTACTACACTATACACTATACTAGTGAAGTACCGGTGAGGACGCTTGACGCCGAGGTTGAGGCACACGTATATTTATTTCACAATACGACAGTGGGCATATACACACTCGAGGGGGTATCGGCCCCCTCACCCGTATAACTCGGGATACACCCCTAGCTAACTCTGTCCTAGCCCCGAATCCTCCACTAATGGGCTAGGGGAGGCTAACTGGCCCGACACTGGTAAGTCGGGCCCGGTACCCGGAGTTCCAGACCAGCTCTTACAAGAGCACCGGCTCTGGCTTTCGGGACCACGCCGCTGGCTCAGTCCTGTCCGGCCCTGAAAAGGACATCGAACTAGGGGAGTCCAGGGCTCTATCTAAGACGTCTTCAGTCTTCTTCCCTTAGCTTAAACATAACTGACTCGAGCCCTTTGAACATCCCCTTTTATACCCAACCCCTCCCTGAGGGGTGGGGCCCCGGGGGATCATAACGTTCGAACCAGCCCCCCCCCCCAGGGTGTCTGGCTCGGACGTCGTAGAGGGCACCTCCTCGTGCACTTACGTAGCCCCGCCCACTGTGTTTGTTTTCCATAGGCTGCCATGCATAACGGGCCCTCTCTTTAACACCCCTACATCACCCCCCCCCCCCCGCATAGCTTGCAGCTGTCCCGGCTGCCAACATACAAAAATGACAATAAAAGTGCATTTACACCTTGACCGCGCGTGTGCCTCACTATTTTTCAACAATAACAAGAACAGCAACAAGAACACAACAAAATGCAACAGCAAGAAGAGAAAACAACCCGACGCACCCCCCCTTGAATAAATACGAATTCCGTAAAAAAACAACCTATATACAATTTGCAGGGAACCCACCATACACACAACACCAGGTGAACCCAACGTATGTACATTTCAATTGGCAGGGAACGCACCACCCACACAACACACAATGAACCCAACATATGTACATTCAATGGGCAGGGAACACACCACCCACACAACACACGATGAACACAACCTATGTACACATCTTCCGGCCTCATAACAGTCTGCGCATTTTTGCGCGCGTCCTTGCCGCGGGCCCCTCACACGGGGTAACCCCGGGTGGCGGACCGTCAGGTGGCAATTGTCCGTCCCGGAGTGAGTCCTCATCCGATGCCGCGCGACCGTCGGTATCCCCAGGAGGGGTGGTCGGGCGTGAGCCCGTCAGTCCTGATGCACCTGGAGGTGGCACGGCCGGCAAGGCATTAGGTGAGAACGACGGAGACGGACCCAATGAGTCGGTCGACCCCCCACACGTTTGGCCACGCATGTGTGAAGTGGGTTTGTGTACCGCAACGAAGGGTTTTAACCTAGAGGGGTGCACGAACCATCGCCGCTTCCCCCATTTAATGCGCACGCACTGTGGTCGCAAAACTTCGACCACCTCCACAGGGCCCCACCACGGCCGCACGAGCTTAGAGGAGGTAGCCAGTGGCACTTGGGGACAGTGCAGCCATGCCTTGTCCCCCGGCTTCCACTGTATCATGTGCGCCCGACCCAGCCTGAGGCGCTCATTCGCCTTTTGACGGAGGTCCGAGTTTAGCATTGCAGCATCCCGCGCCTCTGTTAATTTGGCCAGATTAAATTTGACGTGGTCAGCCAATTTAGTTTTCCCTTGCGGCTCGGGGATCTGCAGCTGGGCGCGAACAGGCGGGTCGGGTTCGCGACCGTACATGAGGTAAAAGGGGGAAAATCCCGTAGCTGCATGGGGTGCCATCCGGTATGCCGCCAAGACCCCTTGAATATGCAGGTCCCAGTCAGTCTGTGAGTCCGAGACCTGCTGTGACATCATTGACGTAATGGTGCGATGCAGGCGCTCGACCATCCCGTCAGTTTGCGGGTGATACGGGGAGGTACGAATTTTCTTCGTGCCTAGGAGGTCACAGACTTGTTTGAGTAATTTACCGGAAAAATTTCTGCCCTGGTCGGTCAGCAGCCGCTCCGGAGCACCTTTGTCCAGGACGTATCCCTGAACAAAGGCCTCCACGATGGCTGCTGCCGACTGGTTGGCAAGGGGCCAGGCCATAGGCCAGCGTGTAAAATACTCGACACCAGTCAACAAATACCTATTGCCCCTGGGGGTGGCGGGAAATGGGCCCAAAATGTCCAGCGCGACAAGCTCATTTATTCTGGACACTTTGATCGATTGCAAGGGCGGGTTAGACTCCCGCGCCGGCGGTTTCCGTTGCGCACACCGAGGGCATGATCCCAATAGACCCCCAACATCCCTCGTCATGCCAGGCCAAAAAAAATAAAGTTGTAGCAGTGCAAGAGTCTTTTGGGTCCCCAGGTGTAATAGGCGCTCATGCGCGGCCCACACCACCTTGCCTCGCAACCCAGAAGGGACCACCAGCCGATATCGCTGGGATTTCCCGTCCCAATGCATCAGCAGACCTTGCACCATTTCCCATGCATCCGAATCACCCTTCACACGCTCAGCACCCCCGACGCGACGACGCCACCCGAGGAGGGAGGTATCCTCCATCTGGAGGCGCCCCCATTCAGTGACGGGCATCGTCGGTGGCTGCCAAAACCGGAACCGATGCGTCCCCTGAAGGCCTGCAACGTCCCGACCCCAGGAGGCA